AAATTAGTCAGTCAGAGAAAGACAAAAATCATATGACTTCACTCATATGAGGACTTTAGGAGACAAAACAGATGAACATAAGGGAAGGGAAACAAAAATAATATAAAAACAGGGAGGGGGAGAAAACATAAGAGACTCTTAAATATGGAGAACAAACAGAGGGTTACTGGAGGGGTTGTGGGAGGGGGGATGGGCTAAATGGGTAAGGGGCACTAAAGAATCTACTCCTGAAATCATTGTTGCACTATATGCTAACTAATTTGGGTGTAAAATTTAAAAGATAATAAAGTTAAAAAAGAGTAAGATTTAAAATAAAAATTAAAAAACAAAAAGTTATGTTTATACTATTCTGTAGCCTATTACGTGTGCAATAAAATCATGTCTACTACAACAACGCACATATTTTAATTAAAAAATACTTGGGGCGCCTGGGTGGCTCAGTCGGTTGAGAGACTGACTTTGGCTCGGATCGTGGGTTTGAGCCCCGTGTCAGGCTCTGTGCTGCTTGGAGCCTGCAGCCTGCTTCAGATTCTGTGTCTCTCCCTCTCTCTCTCCCCCTCCCCCACTTGTGTGCATGTGCTCTCTCTCTCTTACAAATAAGTAAAAAAAAAAGAAAAACATTTTTTTTTAATCTTAAAAAAATACTTTATTGCTGGGGCACCTGGGTGGCTCAGTTGGTTAAGTTCAGTTGGTCCGACTTTGGCTCAGGTCATGGTCTCACAGTTCGTGAGTTTCAGCCCTACACAGGACTTCATGCTGACAGCGGTGAGCCTGCTTGGGATTCTCTCTCTTTCCCTCTCTCTCTGCCTCTCCCTCCCACTCTCTCTCAAAATAAATAAATTTAAATAAATAAATAAACATTAAAAATACTTTATTGCTTGAAATGGTAACCATCATCTGAACTTTCAGCAAGTCATAATCCCTGATCACAGATCAGCATGACATGTATAATAATAAGGAACAGTTTGAAATACTGCAAGAATTACCAAAATGTGACACAGACATACAAAGTGAGTAAATGCCGTTGGAAAAATGACAACGATAGACTTGCTCGATGCAGGGTTTCCACAAACCTTCAATTTGTTAAAAACACAGTATCTGCAAAGTGCCATCAAGAGAAGTACAATGAAATGACGCTGGATTTCTATTGGATTGTGATCATGATGCTATGAAGCAGACACGATATCCGTGTAGGAGGTGAAGTTACAAAACTTGGGGCAATTTATTTCCCTTCTCTGAAGTCAAGCATGTTAGTGCAGAAGGATTTGAAGCTAGGTATTACTCCAAGGTTATGTTCTTGAACTTAACTATGAGAAGTCCCCCCTGCTGTGGTTTCGTCTCCCGTGGAATCTCACCCAGGCCCCAGAGAGCTCTGGAGAACCCCTCAGAGGCCACAGAAGGGTGAGGAGGCAGGCTGACCTCAAGACCTACCACTTCAGCGTCAACTAGAGGCTACATTTATCCCTTTTACATGTGGGGCTTCTCATAAGACATCTTTTTTTTTTTTTAATTTATTTTCAGAGAGACAGAGACAGTATGAGTAGGGGAGGGGCAATGAGAGAGGAAGAAAGAGAGAGAATCCCAAGCAGGCTCTGCACTGCCAGCACAGAGCCTGATGTGGGGCTTGAACCCACAAACTGTGACATCATGACCTGAGCCGAAATCAAGTCAGATGCTTAACTGACTGAACCACCCAGGCGCCCTGAGACGTCATTTTTAAAAAAGGTTTATTTATTTATTTTGAGAGAGAGCGAGTGGGGAGGGGCAGAGAGAGAGGGAGAGAGAGAATCCCAAGCAGACTCCGCACTGCCAGCACAGAGCCCGATGCAAGGCTCAATCTCACGAACTGTGAGACCATGACCTGAGCCGAAATCAAGAGTCAGATGTCTAAACTGACTGAGCCACCCAGGCGCCCCATAAAACATCATTTAACAGGAAGTTTGAGCACCTGGGTGGCTTAGTCGGTAGAGCATGTGACTCTTGATCTCGGGATCGTGAGTTCAAGCTCCCTGTTGGGTGTGGAGATTACTTAAATAAAACTTAAACCCCAAAAGTTTGAAAAGCAAATAAAAGCAAGTTTGAAAGCCTCTGGCACTCCCTGCTGCCCAAGAAAGCCAGCTGACTGCAGTTAGCCCCTTACCAAGTTTTGAGCAGGTGGCAACGTTAGGGTCCTGTTATCTCCTCTCCTGCTCTACATCCATCTTTTAGCATCTGTCTATTCTAGTAATCAACAACAGTGGTCACTTTATCAAAGATGTATATCTTCAGCCAGGAGCTAGACACATCATCCCGTCTTATCTTACAGCAGTGCTGTGGTACGGAGGCGGAGGCGTTGTCACCTTGCTATCACTGTTGTAGACTGCAGAGGTCAAGGGCCTAACCAAGGCGGCACAGGGAGACCTAGGTCAGCCTCACTCCAGTGCCCTTGCTCTTCCATAGCCCCATGCTGCTTCCCCTCCCCATCTACTGTTGCACACCAGTTGATAGTCCTCGCATTCCATGGAAGGTGTGTGAGCCCCAGGAAGCAGCTCTGAGTAGGTAGTTGGGTCAGTTTCTTGGGTGGGGAATGCCATCCATGGTGGGGACTCTCGGGATGAGAAACAGGACAGTTCCTCCTCATCCTGAAGCAGGTGAGGCCGGGAATGCTGGGAAGGAATGAGCTGACTCAGGAGCCAACGTGAGCAGTTGGCCTGGCAGTTATTAGTCTTGTCATCATAAGTAGCTCAGTTTCTGATTTAAACTTTTTTTTTGTATGCTTGTGCAATAAGCACACTTAACATGAGGTCTATTTTCTTAAAGTGTTTTTGTTGTTGTTGTTGTTGTTGTTGTTTTAAGTAAGCATTATGGGGCGCCTGGGTGGCGCAGTCGGTTAAGCGTCCGACTTCAGCTCAGGTCACGATCTCGCGGTCCGTGAGTTCGAGCCCTGCGTCGGGCTCTGGGCTGATGGCTCAGAGCCTGGAGCCTGTTTCCGATTCTGTGTCTCCCTCTCTCTCTGCCCCTCCCCCGTTCATGCTCTGTCTCTCTCTGTCTCAAAAATAAATAAACGTTAAAAAAAAAATAAAGTAAGCATTATGCTCAACGTGGGGCTTGAACTCACGACCCTGAGATCTAGAGTCACACGCTGTACCGACTGAGCCAGCCAGGTGCCCCCATCTTCTTAAATAGCTTAAAATACAACTTTTTAAGAAGATGGGGGCACTTGGGTGGCACAGTTGGTTAGGCCTCTGACTCGATCTCAGCACAGGTCATGATCTCACAGTTTGTGATTTCAAGCCCCTGCATCTAGCTCTGCACTGGCAGTGCGGAGCCTACTTGGGATCCTCTCTGCCCCTCCCCTGCTCGCTCTCTCTCTCTCAAAAAATAAATGAACTAAACTAAATAGATAAATAAATAACATTCTCAGTCGGCCTCAATTTACGTGTCCCCTCTGAGCTTTTGTTTTCTTTATGCAAAATGACAACGCTCTTCTTGCAGTGTTGTAAGATATGTCTGTAAGATACAAAGCACCCAGCACACAATTTGCACTTACTAAGTGATGACTGTGTTTTTGCACTCATCCTCCTGCATCCTTTGGGCTTTGTGGCCTGTCCAGATACCCTTGGGATCTCAGAAACTCTGAGTACAAAGACCTTATCCTTATCGGCCAACCAGGTGGTCGCCGACCACTATATAGTTCAGGTCTTCATGCTGGAATTGAGGGAGCACCAAATTTAGAGTCAGGAAACCTGGCTGGAATCTTGAGCTTTGCTCTGATTTCATCTGGAAAGAGATACTTTTTTTTTCTTTTCTTTTCTTTTTTTTTTTTTAAACAGGCTGTCTTGATAAACTGTGTTTTGTGCGTAGAAAGGCATTTTTTGGCATCTCAGAGATTTTTTTTTCATTCTGATCACTCAGATCTGACCCTAGCTGTACCCATCAGCAACTCTCTGGCCATCATCTTCACACTGATTGTTGGGAAGGTCCTTGGAGAAGATATTGGTGGAAAAGGTAAGTTAGACTGCTTGCAAGTGCAGGAAGCCGCTACATGGGCCTTGCCACCCCTGGTTAGTCCTTTCCAGAGCCATCTCCCAAGGGCAGGGGAGGAGAGGATCTTTCCCCATCCCACCCCTTTCTTCTGCAGCTCTTCCTTAGAGCCATCAGAGTTTCCTTCCCCTGGGCGTTCTGGGGACAGACCCCATCTGACCTGGGCGCTCAGCCCTGCACCAGCTCCTCCTAGCGTGGCTGGGCTCAGCCCCTCGATTTCTGCCCATTCTCCCAGGAGCATTCACAGGCATGGTGCTCACCATGGCAGGAATTACACTCTGCGTCACAAGCTCCGTGAGCAAGACCCAGGGGCAACTGTCTGCCCGTTGAGTGGGCCGATGCCACCCTGCAGCGCTTCTGTCTCCAGGAAGCCCCTGAGCTGTGAGGTGCAGCCTCACGTGAGGTGCAGCAGATGGACCTAGCACTTCCCCGCCTGAGCCTCAGCGTCCTCCTCTCTTAGGGGGCTAAGAGCTACCTCGTGGTGGATTGCACAAGAGAACTGGAGCAAAAGGGTTTTGTAACTTCCGAGATCTGTTCGACTGCTAGGATTTAGCACAAGAGACTTCACGCTCCTCCAGCGACACTTCTGCCCCAGCAGCCCTCTTCGTGCTTTCATGTCAGGCCCCCAGCCCAGCCACTGTCACTATGGCCTGATCTGGACTGTCACAGCAGCAGGGTCCACGGACTGCATGGAGACAGCCAGCTGTAGTCTGAGCCAGAAATGCAAACAGAAGGCCTCCAGAGCTGTCAGGGGCCCCTGCTGCCTGAGGGGCATCTGAGGGGATGAATGGCAGGTGTAGAGGAGATGAGCGATCTGGTAGCATCGCCTGTCGCACCCATGAGATGGGTGGAAATCCTCACCAGCCTGCCCCTCTCAGACAGCCAGCCTCCTGTGGGCCCCTGCACCACCTCACTCCAGCCATGTGGTACGGTACCTGGCGAGCAGTAGCCTCAAATAAATCTGCACTAAACAGACGGAGGATAGTAAGTATTCTTTTATTGTGACAGACCTGCTCTCAAGTTTGTAGTCTCTCTTGGCTACAAAGGTTGGTTGGCTCCTCTTCTCTCTGGCCAGATAATCCCTTAAGGACATGGCCTCCATGGCTAGGGCTGCTCTATTCAAAGGAAAGTAAGACTAGGATGTGGGTTTAGGAGCAGAAGAGTGGGGCAGGGCTGAGGGGGCTACAGGGTATCCTGTGAGCCCAGGCGGGGCGCTGGGTCCCCTGGAACAGGCTACTGGAGGCAAGGATAAATGGTGGCTGCAGAGTGGACGCCCCAGTTCCCGGCTGGAGCTGCCGGTGCCCAAGATGGCAGAGACAGGGCTGAGGCTGAGATCGCTGCCCCAGTCCCAGGCTGCTTTTCCAGGCACAGGGCCTCGTCCACCATCTGCGCTGCCCTCTGGAGGAGGCAGAAGGCCGTACATAATGGAGCATTAGCATCCCTTGTCTCCCGCCCTCAGCTGAAGTTTCCGACCCCAGGAAAGGAAGAGACTAGAAATTTGGATCTGCTTTTCATTTAACAAGGTAGGAGGTTGGGCTTGGAGAGTTCGATCTGCTTACGGCGCCAAGGGGGAACTGCCCCTGGGACCCAGGGCTGCGATTCCAGCTCAGAACTCCTGAACCAACATACTGCTTCCAGCCCTGGCACACCTGATCCAAGGGTTCCTCTGCACAGGTGTCTTCATCATCTGGCACTTCCTGGGCCCCCGCTGTCTCCTTCCTTGGGTGGGGAGCCTCATATACTCCTTTGACTCCTGATGAGGGACGCAGTGCGGGCTGATGCCCAGGCTGAGGAGCCATCATTCCCTTGACCTCTCCCAGCCCCTCCCCCTGCCCTCCCCTGAGCCTTGCTCCACGTTCCCTACTACCTCAGAGGATGGCAGCATAGCTCCCAGGCAGGCCTTTGGCCTCCATCCCTTTCAAACCCCCCGCTGAAGTTTCAGTGCTTTGAGTTTCCCTGTGCCTCTTTCTGTATTGCCAGGTCCCTGCGCAGAGGCCAGGGACCGCATGTGCACATGGGGGAGCAGGGAAGATTTGTGCTGAGGTCAGGGCCGGCCCTGTACCCAGGCATTCTGCCCCCATAGACCTCTCCCATGACAGCAGGGACCATCCTGGAGCCCTGTCAGAGGGTGGGTGAGAGGGTCCCAGGGTCCCCTCACCTGATGGAAATGAGAGAGTGGGGAGCCTGCTTCTTGGCTGAATGGCCTGCTGGCGTCTGGCATGAAAAGCAGGTGGCTCAATTTGGCTTGGCTCCTTTGTAGAGGGCTGGGTTGCCTGTGCCCCGTGGCCATGGGCCTGTAGAGGGAAGACTGGGCTTGGGCTGTGGATGCTGGCTCTTCTTGCCTTCTCTCCTGCCAGGCCACGCTTGAATGCCCTTGGTGTCTGCGGGAGCTTGGGAGAGATGCCATCCATCTTCATAGCCTGCATGCTCCCTCCTGGCTCCCTCTTCCCATCAGGCTGCCTTATCCAGGGACAGAACAGCTGGTGCCTGGCACTCAAGAAGCCCAGTGAAGCCAGGCTGTGCCCCCGAGCCCCCCAGTGCTCACTGGCTCATCTTTTGGGAGGGCTCAGGTCTGGGATCAGCTGAGGAGCGGATAAGCTCCTTTGGATCTTGCTATGTCAGATATGCCAGTTTTTTCTCCCAGCATCCAACCTGGCAGAAAGGCTTTAGGACCAGCAACTCAGTCTAAAGATCTTCGAGGAGCCTGGTTGAGCTGTCTCTTAGACCAGGTTCTGGTCTGGCCCCTGCCACTCAATAATTGTGTCATCCTGCACAAATTAGTTCACTCCTTTGAACTTCAGTGTCTCCACTAGAAAATGGGAACGATAACCTCTGTTTCACAAGGTGACTGAGAGGACGCAGGGACACGTGGTGAGAGCCTGAGCTGGAGGAGAGGTCAGCCAGTCACCCCTCATCTTTCCTGCCTCCCGTGGCCTCCCCCATCACCTACCCGCTGCTTGTGAGGCCTAGACTTTGGGTCTGGAGGGTGCCTGCAACAAAAAAAAAGAAAAAGTTTATAGTAGGCAGAGAAAGGCATGGAATCAGGGTGGCTTCCGCTGCTCTACCCTGCTACCCACCGCCTCACACATACATACCAGCAGCCCCTGGGCAGTGAGGGGCTAGGCACCAGCAGCTCCAGATAGGGGAGGGCCTTGAACTCATCCTTTCCCACAGCCACATAGTAATGGCCATTCACCAGAGCCTCTCTTGCTGACAGTGGGAGCCCTTCCAGGGTGCAGAGTCTGGGAGAGAGAGGTAGGTGGGTAAGGGCCAGTAGACAAGATCCCTGTTCATATTTAGCAGACTGTGACGGGTTGGGTACAACTATTCCAAGGTACCCTTTGGCCACTTGCCCTCTGGACATCTGGGCCAGTCTCCTAGGCTCTGCCGGGCTCCAAGGGCTCAGCATAGAAGGAAGTGCCATTTGGGGAAACATGTTTTCTTTTGCCTTGTTGTCCTTAAGGACAGCCGAAAACTGTAGGGAGGGAGATGCCTTCCAGGGACTTTTGGGTCTCCTCAGTCCCCATACTCACTTGCACACAGCTCCGGTCTGTAGTTTGGCCTTCTCAGTCAGGAGCTTCAACACTGTTTTCCAGTCCTCGCTGGCCGCCTGGGACAGCTTCAGGCTAAATGGGGGACTTAACAGGTCCCCATTCCTGAACACACTGGGACAAAGAGCAGCCTGGTAAGGAGAAGGGTCCCTAGCACTCCCCACGTATGAGAGGAAGAAGGGTAGCACAGGGCCAGAAAATGGTCTAAGAACATTGGTCCATTTTCACCCATCAGGCATGTTGGGACTTTTTATATCCCCATCAGAGACCAGGGGCTTCTGGAACAATCCCACCCACCTCTTGGTCTTACTGAAACAAAATCTGTGCTCCTGCTCCCCGACACCAGCACTCACTGGATATAGCAGGGGGAACCTGCTGGTGGTCGTGGTCCACAGGTCCCATCACATGGGCAGTGAGTCTCAGGAGGATCCTGAAACCCAAGTCAGGCCCTCAGATCAGAAGACAGTTGAGGCCTTTGGTTAGGGGTGGGTTCGTCTGAGGTGGGTAGGGTGGTTGAAGGAGGGGACAAGGAGGGATGGGACTGGTCACACCTTTCACCAAAGGGAGCTTCTCCCTCCCTGAAGTCACATTCCAACCATCCCCTTGCCCTCGTGTGTTTTACAGCTTCCTTTTTCCTTTGGGGACCACAACCTGGAGGTAAAGGGAGAGGCTGGGAAAGGAGCAAGGGATAGCATCTTGAAATCCTGCACCCCAGGAAGGGTAGCAGCTGGCTCCAGAGAGGGTGTGGAGAGTGCCCCGCCTCCCAGCAGCAGATCCTGCTACTTCCAGGGCCCCTGACTTCCCAGACTGAACTGGGAACAATCCCAAGAGCAGGGAGAAGACAGAGGGCTAGAAGCCAGCACCCACCCACCCACCCCCACTCACTGGTAGTCTGCTGCTCTTTCCACCTGGAGCCTTCCGTCCAGGGGGTAAATAGCTGAAAAGACAGATGGGTCACAGGTCATCTCGGGAGCCTGGGACCTCAACACCCTGCTAGCTGCCAGAGTGAGGGTCTGGGGCTCAGCTTAGCAGGTATCCATTCCCACTGGGCCAGTCTCAAGACACCTCAGTCCAGAAACATCCTGACCTTTGAGCCTGCCTTAGGGCCCTGCATCAGGCTGACCACCCAGACCGGGGTCTCAGACACAAACCCTTAAGATTAAAGGTCAAGAGAAACTAGTTCATTAAGCATCTTACTGTAGCTCAGAAGTTTTCTCATTCATGAGGTTTTATCTCATTTTCTAGAAGACTGAAAGCTAAGTACTCACCTAAAGTAACACAGAAGTAACAGGTGACAGGGCCCAGGTTCTAAGTCTGAATGACTTCCCACCCCTTGCTCCTTATGCTACCATCAACAGCTCAGTAGCACCTGGAAGCTCAGATGCTCAAATTATTTTCCCATCTTGGAAGGCATGGCCCCACCCTGCAAAGGGGGTGGCCCCAGCCCAGTGGGGAGCATAGGAGACCTAATCACAGCAAGGAGGAAGTGCTAGATGGATTTAAGTGTTTGGTGGTGATGGTGGTAGAATCCAATCAAGAGCCTTTGGAAAAAGGGGCTCAACCTGCTGGAGAATGTTCTGGTCCTGACGGTGGTGGGCATGAACATCAGACTTCACCCAGAGCCATGACTCCACTATTTGTTGGGTACTCTTAGGCAGGTTTCCTTGATTGTCTTCTAAAGAACAGGGATAAGACCACCTCCTGCGTAGGGCTGCCATATTCCAGAGGAGAACACGTAAAGTGCCTGCACGTACATAGTACTGAACACGTGCTACTGCGCTTGCAATTACCTCCCTCCCAAGGCCCTAAGCAGCCCCAGCCCACTCACTGCAGCTTGCGGAATCTTTCAAAGCCAGCAGCCACATACTGCCCTCCGTTCTGCAGGTCCGCCAGGTCCGTGACAGGGTGGCCATGACAAGGCGTATAGAGGGCCCGCACAGCCACTGGGGCCTGCACAGCCGATGTCACCTCACAGAGGAAGGTCTCCAGGGTGGGAAAGCGGCGTTGACTCACCACCAGCTGGCAGCCTGGGGAGAAGGGGTCCCCATTCCGGTATACCACTACCCTCTTGGCTGCTGGATTACCACCACTGGCCATAGTGTCTTCGGCAAGAGACGCGGAGGTGTTGCCCGGCAACTAGGCAGGCTGGGAGCAGTGCCAATCAGAGGCGGAGTCCTGCACCCTCGCCCAGGAAGGTGGGGAGAGACTCCGCAGGAGCATCTGTCTGTGTTCAGGGTCTCATCCAGCCACACAGAGTAGGGTGGATCTGATCACTATACTGGAAGGGAAGACCCTGGGGCTCAGTGAGGGAGGCAGTGGTGGAGATTGCACTGAAACACAGATGTTCCGATACTGGATAGAGGGAGGAATTCTCTGAAGCTCTCTGCCACCCTGCAGCCCAAGGGCTGAGCTCAAAGGTGGATCAGCTTTGGGGACTGTTCCTAAGGATGGCCAGTCTGCCCCTGGACTGTGGTTCCCAGCCAGCCCTGGGGAAGATGCCCCATGCCAGCAGGAAAGGAACACGTGGGCCCCAGTGTCCTAAACAGAGGCAGAAGACAAACACAGCCAGGTGCAGAAGCCAAGAAAAACCTTTATTCTCCACCGGGCTCCCCACTTTACTTATCCCAGGTAACTCCCTGCCCCCAAATTTGGAGTAAGCCACAGGCGGAAGATGAAAGAGTATCCTCCCACCCCTCCCTATACCAGTGCCAGTTCTCTGCTCCAGCTTCTCTTGGCCCCATGAGCCACCAATGGCCAAGGGCAGGAGGTAGAGCTAGTACCAGGGAGCAAGGATGAGGCCCTGGCTCCCCAGGGTCTAGCCTGGTGGTCCTGTTTTCCATGGCTTGTCCTTCCAGTGGTCCTCTCCTGTGTGGGCAGACTCTGTCAAAGACAGTTTCTTAGGTGGCCTCGATCGCCATGGTACAGCCCTCTGGTTTGTCGATTGTTCATGGCTAGGTTCACTGGAGGTTCTATCTCTGGAGCTTTTCTCACTAGGGATCTGGCCCTTGGGTGGCTTAGTCTCCCAGAGATCCTGGCCACCATGCTCTGCCAAGGTCTCATCCCAGATGCCATGGTCCTCTGAGAGGTCCAACTCTCGTGGCCTAGCTCTTTGGCAATCAGGCTTTTTACGTTCTGGCTTTCTGGGAGACTTTTCCTCAATATCCAGGTCCTCACCGAGTGTGGGCACCTGCATCCTGGCTTTTTCAGAACAGTAGCCCCTAGGTTCGAGGCCTTTGGGGATCTGGTCCTCCGGGACTCTCATCAACTGCAGGCAGGGCCCTCCACGGTGTGGCTCTCTAGTGAGCCTGTTCTCTAAGGCCTGGTTATTGGACAGTGTGGGCAGCTGTGCTCTAGCCCTCCTGTTGCATGGATCCCTGTACTTGACCCCAGCAGTGGTTTTGTCTGTAGTAGCCAGGCTTTCCAGGGACTTGTGGGGTTGTGATTTCAGCCTCCAGGAGGAGTTATCTACATGGTCTGGGTCTTTAATGGTCCTCTCTCTGTAGAACTTGTCTTTCAGTGGTGGGCTTGTTTGTGACCCAGCCCTCACACAGGTCTGAGCCTTGTGGTCTGGGCACATGCTGGGCTTGTCTCTCATCTGGCTCGCCTCCGGGGATGTCAGTGTCTGTTTGAGAATTAGGTACTGTTGGGGAAGAGAAAAGACACTGTACCAGGCAGGACTGTCTGAGCATAGCAGGAGGCTTTTCCCTAACCTCCTCCCTTGGCCCTAAATGTGCAGAAAAGGCTTCAAATTAGTGGCTACCTCCTTACGGCTATTGATGGCCTGTTGTAGCCACAGCAGTTCCATGGCCAAGTGGCTGTGGTGGTACTGGAGTTCCTGAAGCTTGGTCTGGCTGTGGGGCAGTTCTGGACCTACAGCTTCTGTGAAGGAGGGAGGGAAAAAGGGAGAAGGCTTTTAGGGGTATACAGTGGGCACTGGCCTATCATTTGGCCCTGACACTCTCCTCCTGCCCACCCCTAAGTTGCCCTTAACCAGGCATCGGGAATAAGAGAGATGCAGCTTATCTAGCACAAGCCTTTGGCGTTTCAGATGGGAAAGCTAAGGCTCAGAGAGTGTCAGGGGTTTGCCCTCAGTCTAGGCAGAGAGGTACCTGGGTTTTCCATCCCTGACATAGCTCTGGTCTCCTCTTGGCTGGGATTCCTGGCTTGCCTGCTGTGCTCATCCTGAGGCGGGGGACTGTCACCTCTGCAGGGAAGACTTCCCGAGTTTGCTGAGCTCTGTCCTGATTGCTTCAGCATCATCTCCCCAAAGACAGCTTCTCTCTCAGGTTCTTTACATGAGAAGCGGCCCCGCCATTGCTGTTCTGGATTTGGTGCCCTCTCTTGGGGTTTACAGGTCCGATGGGATTTTGCTTTCTGAGAAAACAGAAGTAGGAGAACCTGACAGCTAAACCTTCCAAATTTCTGGGTGCCAAGATTTAGCGTATAAGGCAGTAAGGACTAAGGACTGGGATATGAGGAGTGGAGTCTGCTGGTCCTTCCATTGAGAAAAACTTGTCAATAGGAAGGGTGGTTTCTACCATTTCCTCGAATCCCCTGCCCAGGTCCCTCCTTTCCCTCCCTTCTTCCACTGGGGTGTGTACTACCTCTGGGAGAAACTGGGGCCTGGGAATCCAACCCTCTGTCCACTGAAGCGTGCCCAGGTCACCCTCGATTTCGCGTACAACAGCCTCATACTCATCTCGCAGTCTCTGGATGTGGCGTCGGACCAAGAAGCCCCGGACGCAGGCCTGGTGTGGAGAATAAGGGGAAAGAAAACGCTTATCACTGCAAAAGTGGGGGGATTCCTGGAGGATTCTCCTGGAGAGCTCATCCCAGTGACTCTAAGAGGGGACCTGGCCGCGGGAAAAGGATAGGTGACGCTGTCAGAACTGTCTCCGCGGGTTCAAGGGAGGATGCTGGACTGGATCCACCTCTTCGATTTGAGGCCTTTCCCGCCACTTCCTGGATCCCGCAGGAACGTGTGGTGGGAGTGGAAGGCCGGTGGGGGCCCGTGGGAACCAGCATTCGTCAGGGCGGTGGGGGTGGGTCGGTAACTCCGGAGGCTGGCACGAGGGTAGGTGGCCGAACGTGGTAGCTTCATCTCGTTCGAAGACCCCAGTCCGAGACCCCGTGGTGGGAATCATGCACTCCCAGCCCGCTCCGCACCTGCAGCACCGACACCCCGCGAAGCAACCGCTCCCGCTCCATCCGGGCGCCAACGGACCTGCCGCCTGCCGCGCGCCTGCGCCGTGCGTCACTAGTCCGCGCCGCGCACAGGCCCCGCCCCCGCCGTCTCCACGGCAACCTTGCTCCTCCCGCGGCGGCCGCCAGGTCCTGGCACCTGCCTCCAACTCCAGCTTCCAGAACTACGCTGGGAATTCCAGCTCCTGAGCGGTTCCGCCTAAACCAGTGTGTTGCGCAGCGGTGTCTCTGCGGAGGCCCGGGCCTGCGGTCCCCGGCCGAGTAAAGGCGCAAGGAGGGGAGGGAGCACACGGAGCCGGTGTCTTTCTTTCTGGTTTAATTTCATCCAGCGCCCCCCTCCCCAATAGCACCTGGGGGGCCGCGGAATACCCGATCGAGTTCGTAAAAAGTCACAGTTTGAAGGGAATGAGAGAGGCAGTCTGGTCCTGGGTCCGACACCTACACAGCTGACTGCTCCTCAGGCTCGGCATTCTCGGCCAGGTGCAACTTCTGTCTGTACCAGTCAAGGATTGCGATGCTTTGGACCCCAGTCTTTCCAGCCCTGTCTCCCCATCCTGAACAGGCTTAGTTTCCTCAATTGCACAAAGGGGCAGGGGCGAAGGACTCAGGTGGTCTGTGGTCCAGGTTGCAGTCCACACCTGCCCTTCTTGCTGGGTGGCTTCCCTCCCCGCCCCCCGGGGGGGGCCCCCCCCCCCCCCCCCCCCCCCCGCCCGCCTGCTCTTTCGCTCTAGATCATGCAGTTACACGCACCCGCACTACTTCTGGCTGAGACTAGATGCGGAGATCATCTAAATCAGTGAAAAATAATTGTTGAATGTTGAAAAAGTAGAAAGACATCAGGCAAGTTTTGCCATGGTGTCAGTAAAGTACTTGCAAAGATTTTCTGCCAACATGGGGCTTGAACTCGTGTTCCTGAGATCAAGAGTACCCTGCTCTGGGGCGCCTGGGTGGCGCAGTCGGTTAAGCGTCCGACTTCAGCCAGGTCACGATCTCGCGGTCCGTGAGTTCGAGCCCCGCGTCGGGCTCTGGGCTGATGGCTCAGAGCCTGGAGCCTGTTTCCGATTCTGTGTCTCCCTCTCTCTCTGCCCCTCGCCCGTTCATGCTCTGTCTCTCTCTGTCCCAAAAATAAATAAACGTTGGGAAAAAAAAAATTTAAAAAAAAAAAAAAAAAAAAAAGAGTACCTTGCTCTACCGACTGAGCCAGCCAGGGGCCTCACTTGCAGGGATTTTCATAAGTAGATAAATCACATTCCCTGCAATGGCTTTTCTCCTGATATTCGGGAGAACTCTGCATGGGGGCAGTTTGTGGCCAATTCCGCTTTAGCAGGACTGAAAGAGGAGATGTTGGTTATATTGTAAATAGTCCTAGAGGGTGGTGAGGAGAAGAAAACTGATTTCTTCTGTGGGAGGTGGGGACACATGTACATGCTGCAAGGTCCCTTGAAAAGGATACATAGAGTTACTAAGATCTTCCAGCTGTCAACAGAGAGAAAAGGAGGTTTCTGTCAGGAGAGGCACCAGGCCCAGACCCAGATGCTTTTCCAGCCATCTTCTGGTGGGGGTTGAGGCTCCATGCACCCCCCAGCTTTTCACCCCGGGTCCAGGACTGGTCTTAGGATGATGTACCTCCCCCACCCTCTAATGTCCCCAAGAACCAAAGCACCCAGCCCTGACCCACATTGCTAAGCAGCTGGTCCAGGTTTCGGTCGGCCATCGTCTTCTTCTGCTCCTCTGGCAGTCCCTCAGTGACCCCGTCCTCTTCCTCCTCCTCTTCCTCCTCTTCCCCACACACGTCTAGGCTGAAGTGCAGCCGGGCCAGCTTCTCCTGCATCTCCCGCACGTGCTCCAACTGCTCAAAGGAGCATTCCTTCCCTGGACAACACCTGCCTGAGCCCTGGGAGCAGCTTGGGACCCTGGCCCCAGCCACCGCCCAGAGACCAGGCCCTCCAGCCGTGTCTGCCCCGGCCCCCACCCTCTCAGCCCAGCCCATGGGACTCACCGAAGGCCTGCAGCCGGCCTGAATGAAAATCATTGAGCAGGTTCAACAGTCCCCCCTCCATCTCATAGACGTCCGTCCCCTCGGTCAGAAATGAGTGCTGCAGCGGGGTGCCTGCCAAGCCACCCCCACTTCCGGCCAGCACCGGGCGGCATTTCTCCTTGCCTACCCTGGGTGGGGTAGGCATGGACCATAGTCACAGGGTG